GAAATATGTCACATATTATTACAACTTACTGCTTTAATATATTTTAAAATGCAATCTGTTTCTGTGATGGCAAAGTTGAATTTTCAGCATCATTACTACGGTGTCACATGAACCCTACAAAAATCATTCTAATATGATTTGATGATCAAGAAACATTTCTTATTAGCAATGTTGGAAACAGGCGTGATGCTTAAATGTTTGTGGAAACCATGATACAATTTTTCAAGATTCTACGATGAATAGAAAGTTTGAAAGAACAGCATTAAAGGGTTAGTTCATCCAAAAATGAAAATTAAGTCATTAATTACTCACCCCCATGCTGTTCCAACCCCTTAAGACCTTAGTTCATCTTCGGAACACAAATAAAGATATTTTTGATTGAATCTGAGAGCTAGATCAGTCCTATATAGACTGCCTAAGGGACTGGCTCTTGACGGCCCATAAAGTCATTAAAGAAAAGGTTTAAATATTCCATGTGCCTACAGCGGCTCAATTATAAGTTTATCAAGCGACGAGACTACTTTTTGTGCAAAAAAAACATAAATAACGACTTTATTCCACTATTCCATTACTTCCTTATGGGCGCATGCGCGAGAACTGAGACGAGGACGTTCTCATTGGTCTACTTCTTGTTACCGGCTGCTCAACGCTTAGGAGTTTTACCGCCACCTACCGTATAAAATGATGATCTATATATAAGGCGCTCCGGATTATAAGGAACACTGTCGTTTTTTGAGAAGATTAAAGGCTTTTAAGTGCACCTTATAGTGCGGAAAATACGCTAATTGAAAAGCGTATGTACAGCGCGCATCTTCCTCTGCTTGTAAACAGAAAGTTTTGCGCTTCCAGCTATATCAGCACATCATCTTATACGGTAGGGGGCAGTAAAACTCCTAAGCGGTGAGCAGCCGGTAACAAGAAGTAGACGAATGAGAACGTCCTCGTCTCAGTTCTCGCGCATGCGCCCATAAGGAAGTAATGGAATAGTGGAATAAAGTCGTTATTTATGTTTTTTTTGCACAAAAAGTAGTCTCGTCGCTTGATAAACTTATAATTGAGCCGCTGTAGGCACATGGAATATTTAAACCTTTTCCTTAATGACTTTATGGGCCGTCAAGAGCCAGTCCCTTAGGCAGTCTATATAGGACTGATCCAGCTCTCAGATTCAATCAAAAATATCTTTATTTGTGTTCCAAAGATGAACGAAGGTCTTACGGGGTTGGTACAACATGGGGGTGAGTAATTAATTACTTTATTTTCATTTTTGGGTGAACTAACCCTTTAATTTGAAAAAGATTTTGTAACAACATAAATGTCTTTACGGTCACATTTGATCAATTTAATACAACCTTGCAGAGTAACAGTATTAATTTCTTAAAAAAACAAAAAAAAAACTACTTATGTAGCTGACCAATAAATTAAAAATTAAATTTAAAAAGTACTTTAAGAACAATGGAAAGGAACATTATCATGCTGCAACATGAGGTCTTTTCTTTTCTTCAAATTCTTTATTTTTATTTATATATTATTTTTATTCATGTGCATACTTTAAATCAAAATAACTTCCACTCCCTCTTGCAATGATGATCTCTTCTCTGATGACATTTTCTGGCTGAGGGTGGGTCTTTAACCTCTCCCATTCAGTATTAACCTAGCACTCACATTAGATTGCAGCAATCCCAAATGACAACAGTCCAATCAATTCTCGATGGACAAACTCAAATCCTGTCCTAAAGATTTTCTTGTTCGAGAAGCCATTTATCTCGTCACAAAAGGGAAGAAAAGACTCCCGCTTCATGCCAACTTTAAGTGAAGTATTAATATTTGGCATCCGAGTTTGGGTAATGAGTCAATAGGTAAAGTGTCTAGAAGTTGACCCATGTTCTGTGAAATTTCAGACATATTTGCAACAAGGATTAAGGAATGATTAGAAAAACACAATTATTTTTATAGACCATTTTACAAGATGTAAACAGCACTGGTCCAGAAACACTTCCTGTTTCAGTTTGTAACTGTTGTCTTTATTTCACATGTAAAGAAAATATCTTAAAGATGTTTGTTTAACTTTTTGATTCAGTTTTATATGTTCTGTTGGTTGTATTTTATCCCAGCTTTTATGTAGTGTTAAAAAACTGAAACAGGAAGTGCTTCTGGACCAGCGTTGTTTACATCTTGCAAAATGGTCTATATCACGGTTAAAGTTATAAAATAGAGTCAATTCACTTACTATTTTTTAACGCTTCAGCGTATTCAGCCCCTCCCCTGCTCTTGAACTCTGGGAATGTCTGTGGCTGTGGAAGCTGATTGGCTGTCACAAGAGCCTTCTGCATTTTGATTCGCCTTTCAAGCATCAGGTCCCAAAGAGCTGTAGAGATTTGAAAACAGCATAAAGTTGAGTAGTCTTTTTCTGGTATTTTCTATTTTTCTTAAAATATATGTATTGTTGTCATTTATTTATTTTGAGAGCACACTGTGAATGTGCTTAGGCATCCATACCGAGTTGATTTTTCACTGCCTTCCCTTTCTCCACCTCTTCATTAATTTTCTCTTTAGAGAAGGTCCTTAAGGCTGATTCCTCTTCTTCACCTTCCTCAGAGCCTACCTCACTCTCTCCTTCACTGGCTGTTGAGTCCTCTTCTTCCTCACTGTCTCCCAGATCATCCATTCCCTCTGTGAGTTTCATAAAGTCTGTGCCCTTCATTTTAGAGACCAAGCTGGACATCTGTGAACTATCGTCTCCATTGACATCCTCCTCGACATCGGCGTGATCTTCTTCATCATGGTCACCATCTTCATCCTCCTCATCATCTCTGATGCACTCCATGTACTTTTCCAGCATTCCAGTTTCATCATCATCATCATCATCTTCTTCATCATCATCAGCTAAAAATTGGCATATAAATTAGTTCCTCAATCCCAGCTTATTATGTACAGATCACTATAGGGAAGTTATTCGTTAGTTGATCCAAAAAGTGTATAACACTTAATAAAAATATCTCTATTTTTGTTAAACATTTGCATCTCACCTGATCCATCCAACTCTTTCTGTAGATCTTTTCTGGATGTTGCCTTGCCACAATATCGACGATCACCGTCAGCCAGAATGGCAACGGAGCGCCTCCGCAGATTGCCAGATAAAAGTTCGCCATCATCATCTTCATCCCCACCTTCATCAAACTTCTCTATGACTTTGGCTTTCGTCTCTGCAGTTCAAAATGAAGAGTCAGGGTTAAGCACTCATGGGAGTACAGTTAATCATATTAGTGAATCAACAGTCAGTGAAACATAAAACCAGCATTTAAGGTGAAGAAATTGACTATATCACACATATAATAATAGGTCCTGCTGTAATAAGTTTATAATATTCTTAATATATGTTCTTATAACTACAATGGTAGTATCATGGTACAATGATGGTATCATAAAGTATTACCATGATACTGAATGGTTACCATATTACCAAACAAATACTCTACCATGGTATTTACATGATATTTGAAGAATAACACGGTACAACCACGGAAAAAAAAAAAAAAACACACCATGGCATTTATTACTACAACAAATGTTATGTTCAAGTCGTTGATCTTAATAAGTGTGAAGTAAAGTCAGTTCTCAGTACACTGAGGCATGCAGACACATCGTGCTTGCAATTGGGGTGACACATTGGCCATTATAATAGCACTAAAATGCCTACAACACGTTAAATTAACGGTTATGACATTTAAGTATAATACCTTCATCTTGGTCGTCCTCGGGATCCACGAAACTTGGTAAAGGATTTAACAAATCCTCGAGCTGCTGTGATATGGAGGCTGCCATGTCTGTACCACGCTGCACCTCTAATGACATCATCAGAGAGCGCCTGAAGAGTCGTCTCGTGACGTGCGTAATAAGTGTGTTTGCTAAGCTAAGTACACAGTAGATTGTCTTTTCTTAGACAGAGTGAGCTCAACAGAGTGTTTAAATCATTAATACTGCACATTATTATGTTCTAGGTAAACCTACCATAATCAAAACTGTGGGTGTGTGGAGAAGAGAAACATTATAACGTTACCCGACAGATCGAGAATATAATTTCTAAAAGGATAGTTCATAATTTTACTCGCCCTAAAGTTGTTCCAAACCTGTATGCATTTCTTTCTCCGGTTGAACCCAAAAGAAGATATTTTGAAGAATGTTAGTGACCAGACATATGAGGTTACCAACATTCTTCAAAATATCTTCTTTTGTGTTCAGCAGAAGAAATAAATCCATATATTTTCCTATATTTATCTGATTTAGGGACTAATGTTTTTAATAGCTAAAAGCAAGCATGTTAAGACAAACAAATTGAGCTGTAGTTCTGTACAAAAAAAAGTGAGATAATAGGCTATTTTGCATTCAGCATGATAATAATGAACATTTAAATAGCTATTTGAAATGTTAATAACATTTCGAATCAATAGCTGCATGCTAGTATAGCCTATTCAAAATAAGTAGCATACATATTTAAAGAAAGTGTCAAATGCATTTTATGTAGGCTATTGTCTGTAGGCTATATGCAATGCTTATTTCATTTATTTTACTGCCAAATTAACACATCTAAACATCAGTGGATTAAATAAATAATGAATTTCATGCTCATGAGAAATAATGCAGACTATAGATGTAATTCTGTTATTCTCAATAGGCCACTGTCAGTGAAAGTTCATAAAATCTAAATTTTGCAAGTCATTTTTCTGGATGTCATAATATAGAAATAGTATGACATGTTCAAAAATATATTGAAAAGTTTATGAAAATGTTCATACGTTTTACATTTAGCAGCAATGATGACCTCCTAACACTGACATTATCAAATCCTCAAATAAAAGCCATCCTTTTGCCATTATTTTGTCCCACTATGAATGCCTTTTTGTGCACCCAGTTTGTTCTCCAGACTCACTGTTTGTTTCAACAGTTTTAAAATTACAGATTATCAAATAACCCTATGCATTTGAGTCACTCTCAGTGCTATAGTTTAAAAAAAAAAGCCCATTTACATATATTTGCGCTTCAATTGTCAACATGTATTTATGGTTTTGTTGAGTGTATTCTTTGTGCAAACACAATATCATACAAACTAATACAGTGATTCACAAGTCAGATATAAATTGAATCAATACAAAAGTTTGGTTCCTTGCTTGAAGAAAAAAGTTAATGTCGGTATCAAGAGGGTTTATATTTAAACCCCTGAAGAAAATATACGTAAACAATTGACTCCTCTCTGTCCACTGACCATATATGAAATGATTTTTAGAAGGTAGACTTCGTCTTATAATTCAAGTCATATTTCATTTCAAATAAAGGGTTCGTTCCAACAATTATAAGTTTCCCTTTAAAAGGCAAAACGCTCTGAGACTTGTTGGAACTCATAACTCCACCGCATGAAGAGCAGAGAAAGATTTTGGTGTGAGATGATTTCAAGTGTCATTATGGCAAAGCCTCAAAAGGCAAAGAGGTCTGAGTCGTCAGGTTATGATACACACATGTGAACAGACACACCAGGTGTTGTAAATATAAACATTCTGCTTCAGCTTGTCTATAGCACAGCTATAAGGTCTGCAGACCCATATTTGACATTCCACTTTCAAAATACACAAATGCTGCTTAAATAGATAAATACATTAAATAAATAGGTAAACGAATGAACAAATAAATAATGTCAATAAATAACTAAATAGAAATTTCGCTGCTATGAAATCACGCATGAACGGACGTTTTCACATGTTTGTGTCCTCAATCGGTCTGTGGTTTGCTACCACACTGTTCCCTCGTTCATCTCCGAGGACAGATTGCTGTATCCGTTGGCACTGAGAGAGTTCAGGGATGTGAAAGGTGGCGTGGAGTCACACATGTCAGAGATGCTGTGGATGGAGGCGGGTGCGCTGGGCTCTGGGCTGGGGGAGTCCCCTGGGTGATGCGATATCATCTCACTGAAGCATTGTGTCTCATTGGAGGGGTGGTGTGCTCCGTGATGATGGTCCATGCTCCCGAGAGGGGTTCCAGCTGGGCCAGAGGAGGTCATGAATCCTAGATCACCAGGAGTCTGGGCTTGGGAGGACGGTGGACCCTGAGGGAAGTACTCGTAGTTTGAGCCAGGGCCATAGTACTCGCCTTGATAGTCTGTTAGAAAGAGGAGATCATCAAATGATCATTACATGCGATCATTCAAAGCCTTCTCATTTAACTTCCTCACAAAGGGCAAAAAGCACTTACTGCACAGTTGTCGACTGAAATCAGCTCACTTAGATGTAATATTGATGTAATTACTATGTTTTGACTTTGTAGGGCAATATAGTAGAAAAGTGAATAATATTTCAATACATTATGACTGCTCAGTATTTTTGTGTCTTTCATTAAAAAAAATATCAGCCTTATATTTTAACACATTTATAAATATATAGGCTATATCTACAAGACAGTTTATATTTTTGTAAGCATGGAATTTAGTTTTAGAATTAATGATTGTAATAAATTGTTTTATATATAGGCTGATTAGCTTTTTGTAAAATAAATGCTTTTAAATTAAATATAGTTGACACACACATTTATGTATGATATTTGTATTATATTAATAAAATTATATGCAATATTAATTTTTGCATGTTTGTTTTAATTTTTGTAAGCATGGAAACATTAATAGTTGTGTAATATAAGTTCTTTTAAATTTTAGTTATGTACGTGTGTGTGTGTGTGTGTGTGTAATGATATTTATATTATTTTAATATTATAACATAAATTTATGTTATTTTAATATTATACATAAAAATAATTTACCAGCCTTGAAATCTAACATTTTTAAATGTTATTTGTGCGAAATGTAATTCTTTGCATGTTTGTTTTTACCACATGGAAACATGGAAATGATTGTGTAATAAATTATTTATATATATATATATATATATATATATATATATTAGGGCTGTGCAAAAATTAATTGCGATTAATCGCATCCAAAATAAAAGTCTGTGTTTACATAATATATTTGTGTGTGCTGTAGCTGTATATAATTATTTTGTATATATAAATACCTATGCATGCATGTAAGAATTATTTGCGCTTAAATTCTGTGTGTACATAATCTATATTATATAAATATAAATATTTTATATATGAATAACACATTTTCTTAAATATATACATGCATGTGTGTGTATTTATATATAGGCCTACAAAATAATTATATACAGCACACACAAATATATTATGTAAAAACAGACTTTTTTGGATGCGATTAATCTCAATTAATTTTTGCACAGCCCTAATGTATATATATACAGTATATAGGCCTATAATAACTGTAACTTGCTGCATTCCGAAAAATATCTTAGTAGCCCATTGGCTATGATGTATTTTTTTTTTTTTTTTTTTTTTCGATTCATGAATATTAACTAACCGCCATAAAAAGAGAAATGTCCGTTGGCCATGAGCTCCCCTGGTTCCATCCGATCGCCCAGCGCCCTCATTCTCCTCGGACTGCGGAAGAACAAGTGTCTTCTGCCGCCCAGCGCGCTGAGCTGCTTCATGCGCCTCTCTTTAGAGCGCCGATTCTGAAACCACACCTGCGCGACAGAAAATACACACATTACTTTCCATATTAATAAACCCCTGAAACATTATTGAGAGTAAAGATGTTGTTTGGCAGCCCGTGGAAAACCTAAGAAGAAGAAAAAAACATTTAACTGCATGCAATAGATAGCATGAAGCACGTAAACATCGCATAAAGTTATATATATAGCCTAACTTTATGCGATGTTTTTTCTTTATCCAAAAGAAAAGGGGGGGGGGGTGTATTGAGATATATTTGGAGAATTTTATTTTATACCAAAATCACGTGTCGTTATTTCTGCCACACAAAAAAAAAAAAAAAAAAAAAAAAAAATGAATGGCAGAAACAAAATAATGACACGCTCTCCACGTTTAATACCTATTTCAACCCTATTCGTCACGACGGGTCGTTACTCTGCAGACAAGACAATTCAGCACTATTATCTACTGAATGTCATTGACTTTTTTTGTCATTTGGACATCACGTCAGACAATAGCAGGGGACATATTTGCATAGGCTACCATCACGCATATTATCCAATCTGGAGTAGCTATGGCCTAGCCAAATTATACAAAGCTGTCACTGCATTTATTTTAACTACACGGAAACATTCTCCCACTTTCAGACATTTGATTTAGGCCTACATTAGGCTATTATTATAGACCTACTATATATATTATAGGCCTACTGCATATTAAACGAACAGTTCCAAAGTCGCGCGGTATGCGTAAAATAGCCAATGAACGCACACATTTGCGCATTCGTCAGATAAACTCTCGCTGCCAAGTAACTTATGTATTCGAGTTGTAGGCATACTTGCCTGAATGACTCGCATATTGAGGCCTGTTTCCTGCGCCAGCTGCTCTCGTATGTGTCTGGTCGGTTTGGGGGTTGCGGCGAAGGCAGCCTTCAGTGTCTCCAGCTGCTTGGCTTTGATAGTAGTTCGCGGCCCGCGACGTTTGCCTCCCAGATTCTGCTCGTCGTTTTCATTGTTGCAGGTCTCCTTGTCTGACATGTGTCCAGTCTCAGAGTCTTTGTCATCCTGCGGGTCTTGAGATTCTGGAGATAAGCTCGGGTCACTGCACGTAGTAACTGTAAAGAGCGCAGAAACCACTTAGTCATCTGTCATAATACGTTCCAAGTACCCCCACACGTTCGAAGACAACATAAAATTACATAGCCTTATGATCAGAAGACATTGAGAGAGAGATAGAGAGAGAGAGAGACTTGAGTTTATTATTACACGGTTCGTGAATTCATCGTGCAGATAATTTCAAATTCATCTCCAAAAATGACTCACCTGACAGAAGGGTTGTGTCTTTTCCGACGCTGTTATTCAAGTAATCCTCCTTGCAGACAAATTTATATTCATCCAGTATGTAAAGTTCTTCGCCAGTGGACAGCTGTTTATTGCACATGATGCAGGTGAAACAGTTTAAGTGAAAGACTTTGCTTCGCGCTTTCCGAACTAGATCACTGGGCGAGATTCCCTGCGCGCAGCCTCCACATTTAGTGCCGTAACGTCTGCGAGAAGAGCACATGCTTTAAGATATCATAAAATCATGGAGGTCAACAAAGCAAAAAACAGTTGTCAAAAATCATAAAAACAAACGAATAAAATGTAGCCCATGAGAAAGATTGTTGGCACTGCAACTGTTTCATGAAAGCAGGTTCACCCATAGGCCTACTGATGTTCTTTTTCTTCTTTAAAACATTCTAATTTAATTCCTGATTCCATAGTGAGTTTATTAGCTACATGACATGTGATGTCTACACTTTAATTTGCAGTTGTTTGCCAGAACCACCATAGAATGTGTTTAGCATTACAGGAATGTTTGTGGATGTCATTAGATTATTTAATATTAATAGCCTACCAACATATTTTAGCTTAGTGTTACAGTAAAATGTAGCCTACTGATAATAACACAATGGGTAGCTAATGGCTACAACCAAAATCCTTATGATGGCTATCAATACATGTCAATATTGGCCTCTCCAGCAATTTTGATAAATAATAAAGACAGAGCAAAATAACATGAGAGGAAAGCGCGCGACACTTAAATATTGCAATAAACAATTTACATTAAAAAAAAATACAAAGTAAACATTCCAATGCATAAAGCTGATAAAAAATATATTTTGTGCGTTAAATTTTGGGAATTACCTTTTAACCAAATTATAATGCGACACTTTATTTATAAAACATCGTCATGTTAAATGTAACATAAATTAATTCTTCGCATCTAAAACATCTTTTACAATATGTTATTACACAATGATCTTTATAATAATTGTTCACACTATATGGAAAAGTATGCTTACCAATTAACTTGTTTTTACTCCTGTTTTTTTTTTTTTACATTCTGGTTCTCTTAAATTGCATTTTGTGATCAAAATAGGCTACATTTTCCACGGTCCACAAAGATGCATGAACTATAGTGTATTCAAAATTACTCAATTTAATTTTTCAGGAAAGAGTTGCTCATATGTTCAGCCTTGATTTGACAGAATGTATTAACAGAATAAACTTCACACGCCACAATATACATTCTTTTGTCTCTGCGCGTGCATGTAAATGCAGTTCGCTGAAATGGTTATCAAATGCGTTCTGTCTGGATTTCTGTGGCTTTCCTCTCGAGCTCATTCATTATTCAAATCCACTTATCGCATCTTTGCTCGAGCTTTTGAAAACAAACGCGTGCGTACGATTGAGGCGAGGCAGGGGACATCCGTCAGGTGCTGGTGGAAATCTCATCCCGTTGCCTGACACTCATACCATGTAAACAAAGAGAACTGTTTTAGTCTGTCACGTAACATGTTATCTAGTATTCGGGGGGTTTAAAATGTGATGTGCACCATTCGTATCGAAATTTCTCTTTTTATAATTTCATTGTGCATTTATTATTTAGCATGCTGAATTTTATAGACCATATGTTGTCTATGTAGGCTATATATTATATTATATTATATTATATTATATTATATTATATTATATTATACTGTATTATATTATATTATATTATATATTTTTTTTGCATGGGGAAAAAATTCTAGTTTAAGACTGTTTTAATAAGAAAGGGAAGGTCATGAAGGAGCTTAAAATAATGTGATGCTTTCTTCGATTAAAATACTCACCTGAAAAAGTCGTTTTTGCAGTAGAGTCGTCCCTCTCTTGAAAAGCATTTATCAGTTAAATTGCATTTACAGTCACAACATTGCACGCATTTTGCATGCCAGGCTCTATCCAAGACGCTGAGAAGAAACCTGTCCAGAATAGGCCTCTCGCATCCAGCACAGTGGACCATATTTTGTGACTCCAGTCACTGCGTTGCTATCCTTGGTGAGAGGGTCAAATCTGTTGCCAAAAGTTAGAGAACACTACGTGGTCCTTGATCCAAGTAAACAAAAAGTCATCAAAAAGGTATACATTGAATGTATATCATCCCAATTTTTTTTTTTTTGCCTGAAGATGACAGCACAGAAACGGAAAAGTGTCAGCTCCTCTTTAGACGATTAAACATAAGTTTATGGTTTAGCATTAAGATTAATAAAAAAAAAAAAAAACAAGCTTTAGTTGAAGTGTTAGTTCAATCTAACGTGGTGCAGATACTTAGCTATTCTACATTTAAATCAATAGAGCGCGGAATCTCCAATGTTCCCAGTGCCTGAATATGAACAATAAACGCGTAAAGGTGTTTAATTCGTTTTTTAAAAAGTTAAAATCAAAGATTTCAAAGTATATCAAATATATTCCCGGTCGTTTTGTTTGATTCCCACTTGCACCTCGGTCTGCTTCTGTCGCTGGCATGGGTTTGGATGATGCCAAGAGACCTTATTCCCTGCGATGTGACGTCACGCTGGAACAGAACCAATCAGATTAGAGTAATTTAGGTGGAAAACACTTTCCTCTGCAATTTCTACTGGAAACAACACAGTGAGTATTAGCAAACATGTTGACTACATTTTATAGTGGAATTATAAACATAGAAAATATAATTTCACTAAAAATATAGCAGAAGTATTGTGTAAAACAATGTTTTTAAAGCAATGATATTTGTCTATTTTTCTTTATTGATAATAAATTAATTCATTGTTGTTGGAAAATTAATAATTGCACGAAATGCAAGACATGGATTTAAGTCAAGCACTTGACGTGGTTTTTTTTTTTTTTTTTTTTTTTTTGTAAACAACGACAGATTTATGGTATTTCACGACCCTTTAAATCTCAGCATAGAAGGATCTGTAGAATATGGAAGCTTACTATCAATTTAGCAATCCTTGCGAGGCAACGTGAAGCATTATGATATGATATTACTAATGCAACATGAAATTAAGATTTATAATATATATATATATATATATATATATATATATATATATATATATGTGTGTATATCACGTAGGTTATTGCTTAAATAATCTGACTGCATGATATTGTTAGGCCAAATTATTATATTAATAAAATAAAATTTGTAAAGGCTATACCTATAATATTAAACATTTTTAAATAGCCTACTAAAATGTCGCTTTGTCAAGTAACGAAATGTAGGCCTATTTGAAATCTATTTGAGTTTGGCCTATATGTGAATTCATAGTGATTAAAAAAATTATCCACAATTAGAAAAGACACGACCTCGACAGCCATGTGGGAAAAGAAGGACACGGCAGTTTCCAACTCAGATTAATGTTCCTCTGCGATTGTTCTTCAGTACGGGTGAGAGGGCAAGGATCACTGATGATTATAATATAAAGTCTCCGGCTGCTGGAGATATTATCGGCGCACTGGGAACCACTGGAGGAGCTGCACAGAGAGATATGGTCACGACAGACAGCGAACAAGCCTCATGCCTGGATGCTATAGATATCATTAACCGTGGGATTTGTTCATCAATGCAATGAGAGAACGTGTTCTTACGACTTTATTGTTTTATCAAGACTAGTCATGCGTGCGTGCTTTACGCGATATCTAATCTTACAGCGGAACTTAAAAAAATAATCATGCAATAGGCATATATGAAGTAAATAACCTCGGAAACTGTTACTATGCCATCCATAAAAATAAAGGTTCCAGTTGGGGGTTTTGCCTTTGCCTTTCTATTGTTCTTAAAAAATAAAAAAATAAAAAAAATAAAAAAATAAAAACAGCAATGTCCTGGTGACGTAAAGAACACTTTGTTAAAATATGCTGCCAATATGGTGCTAAAGAGTCTCTTTTTACATGTTCCATAAAGAGCATTGCTTATATAGTTTTAAAAAGAAGATTTATAGGTTGTAAAATATGGTTGTAAATTTAATTATTAATATCATTGAAGCACCTGGATCCCTCATTTTTTGACCAATAATATGCTAACATCAAGAACTCATGTGTTGTTGATAATAAATGCATTCTTTGATGGACCATTACACATGTTTATTTTTATGAGTGTTATTCATTAAAATGTTAGGAGTTCTGCAGAAGATCAATGTGCTGTTACAATGCATCTCTGTGAAGAAAGATGCATTAGCCTTTAAATGTGAAAGAGGACACAGCTTTATTCTCACAGGGAAAGTGATATCTCACCAGTGTCTGACTTGCACTTTTATGCCTGGAATATTTGTCAAGCGGATGAAAAATATAGCCAATACGAAAGAATAAGGGTTGTGGTCAGCTTGTGCAGTCAACTTGAGATAGAGAGAGAGAGAGAGGAATACAACTGATTGTAAAACTTAATGTCTTTTGTGCTTGAATGGGTGTAAAGACATGGTGAACTACAAAGCCACCCTCAAAACCACCAAATAAATAAAAAACCATGAGTGCTTAAACATCACACACCATCTTGTTTATTATTTGCCATTGCAGCTTGGTTTGAA